GACTTTTGGACACCCCTACAAGAATTCCAATCAAAATAACTAGATGAGAAGCTTCCACCACCTAAGCATAACTCCAGATCAAGAATAGTGATGTGGCATCCAGGAATAGGTTCCAATTAATCCAATTTAAGAAATGACCTTAAGAATGCTCTAGTACTACTATTAGAACTTGGATTTTCATGCAATAGTCAACTAACCAATAAAGCAGTAAAAAAAAAATGTAAAAAACAAGAAGAAATATGACATATTTTTTTTCCAAATGACCCAAGTTCATTTGGCTACGTCCCGTTGAAGCTTCACTCAAGTCAACTTTGATGACTAAAAACCTTCAAGAATTTGATTACACTTCTACAAATCCACAAAGGAATCACCAATAAATAAGACCCGAGCACTAATAATGTTGATATGTTCAAAATCAAGGTTTCTTCATATTCACACTCTTATTTACATCAATACTATTTTCAAGGCTAATAACACCACAAAAGAAAGTTTAGAGGAATATTGTTAAGTCCAAAGCTTGTTGGCAATTTCTTGTCCAAAATCATAGTTTATTGATTTGTTTTTCGAGTTAAAGAGTCGGGGATTGGGGGCATGTGTTGAAGAAGTCAAAGATGGAACAAAGAGAAAAAGTAGTCACAAAACTGCTCATTACCCACTAGAGGAGCGCTCAAGCATCTGATTTAGAACCTTCACCTCTCGCTATCCTCGCTTGGAGTGCTCATGCTGCGGTTGACCACTCGATGTCTGCGAAGTCCAATGCTCGAACGGTGGTAATGTTTGGCAAAACCCTAGATCACAAATTCAACAGAGTTTACAGTTCCAAACAATCTCAAATATTCCATATTATATATATCCAAGCCATAGTTCGTCCCAATCATATCTTGTATTATTGGTTGAGCCTTTATTCATAAATTTCTTGCTTCAATCACAAGATCAAAATACAACAGATCAACACCAAAAATCAAATCCTTTACCAATAGCACTTCAGAATTTTGAAGTTCGGGAAAGGCAGCTGGAGTTCTAATTGAAGAAAAATGAGGTTCGTTCTTAGTGATCCACGTTTAGTGAAAGAGAATTACGGAGTTCTGGAAAGTGCTGGAGACACAATCTAATAGATTCTTCGGTAATTTACAGGTCGATTGGTCTATTGAGGTTTAATTGTGTTTGGATCAAATGTAAGTTATCTTTTCTAGTGGGTAGTTTTGGCAAGGTTTGTCCGGATGTTTTTATCACTGTGAACAGTTTCTCAAGGGGTTTTCCTTCGTTAAAATACCTGGTGTTGATTTTACTTTACTGCATTGATCTGCATGATTGATTGATTAATTATGGTTTAATATTAGTTAAACTTAATCATCTAAAAAAATAATTAATGACTTGTTGCTTTTTATTTATTATTATTTTAATTCCGCATTATACACATATTCACCCCTTTCTTGTATTGTTAGGTTTAAACATTGAATTTTTTTCAAATATGAAGGATAGAGCCTTATTTTGAGAGAGAGAGAGAGAGAGAGAGAGAGAGAAAAGAACACTTATTTCTTGTATTAATCTTAGAGTGGTCAGCCTTTTATACTCGAATCCAAGGGTTGAGATGTAATTTTGAGAATGCACAGTCAGTTCTGTACCCATTTTGATAAAATTGTGTTTTTATATTTGAGAAAGGCAATTTTAGTTAATGGTGTAAAAATGGGCGAGCTATGGAATGGCTCGATACTATTAAAGTATCGGCCTGTGATGGTTCGACCTACCCCGTGACCTGAGACGGTCTATGAAAAAAAAAATTCTAATAGATGTTCATCAGCCTTATATAAAGGCCGTCGGTGGACAACCTTTAATAAGGAGTCCATCAGCCATGCCCATCAATCATTTGAGTTTAAAAATTAAATTTTTTAAATATTCATCAGTCATTTAAATAAAAAAAAAAAATCAACCTAAATTTTTTAAAATATTAACTATGGGCCAAACATGTAAACTGAATCAACCTAAGTTTTCCATTTTCTGGTCTCGTAGACCGGCCTACTCGAGTTATGAGTCAATTCACAAGCCATTTTTAATGGGCCGATCTGAGAGGACCATGTAAGATGGCTCGTCCAGTTTGAGATCACTACTTTTGATTAAACAACTTGTATAACTTTATTTAGTGGTTGTGTTGGAGTGATTTTTGAAATATCATTTTTGGGAGAATGTGTGATTAAAATAAGAAAAAATTACGAAAAAATTTTGTTGTTATTATTATTATTATTATTATTATTATGTATGATTGCAAATAAGTGTGTGAGTAAAGTAACACTTTCAAACAAGAGTTTAAATAGCCATATGAAAAGGGTTAGTAATGATAGAACATCTAGAAGAAAGAAAGAAGAGAGGATTCAAAGTACAACATTTTCCTTATAGACGGTTTAGATTTATCACAGATAGCAAAAAACACATAATAACGCTGACTTTTAAAAAGACAATTATATTATATTTTTAACCTTATATAAATATATTTAAATATACATAAAATTAAATAAATTTATATCACTTTAAATCCATCCACTAATATTTATTTTCATTAAATTATTTTTGATCTTTTTCTATTCTTTAGAATTTATGCTTAACTAAAACTTTAATATCTATAAAATATCATTGTTAATAAAACCAAAATAATGATGAAAGAGAAACTATGAGAGAAAATACATAAAGATTTATCAATATATGAAGAGGAATTTGATAAAAAGTAAGGTTTACATTTTTATTGTGGTTTGATGACTTTAGTATGTGAAGGATTCTTGATTTTGCTTGAGTTATTTGATAATATGCCTTTTGAATTCAAGTAGTATAGTAAGAAATTTCATTCTGAATTATCTGATTTTTTAATCGCATTTTTAAAAATTTATTATTGCAAATTTTGTTTGAAAATAAAAAAAGGACGAAAACATAGCCTCAATATTTTCAAGGCTTTGCCAAATCTTCTTGGCCATATTTTTCTTTCTTTAAAATAAAACTCTTTAATTTTTATACTTATTTTTAATCATAAATTCAAAAAAATTCATACTTTTTAATATATCGTTATTTAAAAAATCACTATTTAAAATATTTTTTTCCCTAAATAATGACCGTTAAACATAGACTTCTCTTGTTTAATCCACGTTATTTTCAAAATACATTTTTATTTATTGTTTTCAATCATACATTCATTTATAAAATAATATTACAAGTAAATTTAAAAATTTTCCCATCAATCTATTTTTAGCCAAAGAATGGAGCTCAAATTTCCAAAATCACTTTGCCGTTTTCCTGTACCCAGTGTACTCCACTCCCGCTCTACCACCGCCGATCGCTGCAGCACACAGCTCCCCTCTCTTTCTCAGGGTAGATTATAGAAACAATTATTCCCTCCATGCCAGCCCCACCAGACTCCGACCCCCATTTGGGCCAACCTGGAAACCCGGTACCCGACATCCCCGCCTTTGAGTCCGACGACCTAGATGACATCGTGGATATCGAAGACGTAGAAGAAACCGATGATTTCGAAGAAGAAGAAGAGCCGGAGCCCATGACTCCAGAGGCTCAAATGCACATGGATCCGACCAGAATGGAGGCCCTTTTCCAGCGATTATCCACTGAGCGAGTCCCCATCCGGGTCCATGACGTCATAATCAAGGGCAATACGAAGACCAAGATCTCCTTGATCGAGTCCGAGGTGGAGAATCTCAAGAAGGCCACTACCGTCCAGCAGCTGCTACGCTCTGCCGCACACGCCAACGCTAAGCTGCAGCGCCTTGATATTTTTGATTCCGTTAGCATCACCCTTGACACTGGTCCACCTGAACTCCCCGGCACGGCCAATGTTATTGTCGAGGTTTCTGAGTCTACGAACTCCCTAACGGGAGATATCGGGCTTTTCTCTAGACCCGAGGTACAAATTTATTGTTTGTGCTGTCTTTAGTTAATTGTTGAACATGAACATACGAAATTTATTTGTTTGTTCTTGGAATTTGCCAATGGACTGTGTAAAATTGTGAAAATCAAGTGGTATGTTATTGTTGGGATTGAAGTATTCCTGGAATTAGGTTTTGGTGTAGCGACGTTATGAGAGGATGAGAATGTGGAATTGATATGAAAATGGAGAAAAATAAAATCAGTATAAAACTAGGTAATGACTTGGTATAGGTGTTACATAGCATTTAACTTAAATAAATTTTTATATCCCTTTCTACAGATAATAGAAAATATACTAGGTGCCACACTTGATGTGTGCATATTAAGAAATATTACCATGAGATAAAAGTAATTGAAATTTGTAAGCAATGTTGAATGTGGCCTTTACTTTCAAACAGTAGTAATCTAAGAATTTTCAAAAATGGGTACTTGTATGGTAGCTTATTCTTTTTCAAAATCCAAAGGGATTAAAAAGAACACAAGTGGATGGGATTTTCCTATAGACATATGAAAAGTAAGTATTCATTGGCAATTCATGTTGACTCCTTCAGTTCAAGAAAATGTCTTTGATGTCAGAGTTCCCTTTTGTTGCTATTTAAAGAATGACACTTTTGGCTTCAGCAAAGCTGTAAATACCATGTATGTATCATACAGCCGGTCAGGAAAGTAATTTTCGAATAAAGAAAAAATACATATGAAAGGAAATTCTAACAGTCAAGAGTCAATTCTGCCACCCATTTTGTCGCTTTTGGTTTAGAATTTGAAAACCACTCTTTTGTTCTTTCTCGTGTATAGCAACAAAGCTGTAACTGTTGTTCCCTCGATTGAACTTGAAAACCCTTATTGGAAAATGTTGAAAAATAAAAAATCGAAAGTAAACACTAAACCCTGCTGTTAAGTGTTTATACCTGTTGCTAAGTAACTTTGTATGCTTTCCTATTCCAGTTTTGGATGCTTTTGTTGAAGAAGAGTTAGTGTGATGTCTCTATAACTCTATTTGCTTTTTGATGTCCTTAAGTGCTTCTGTAGGCTAGGTCTTGGTCTCTAGAAGGATCAGTAAAGCTGAAAAATTTGTTTGGTTATGGGGATTTATGGGATACTTCTGTCACTTATGGCTGGGGTCAAGCATCGGAGGTTAGTGCCGGTTTATCTGTACCAAAACTCAGAGCATTCTCCACACCTTTGACAGCTCGGATATCTCTACTTTCTCGAGATTTGTTGAAGTTTTCTTCTTATAAAGAGCGAGCATTTGGCATGTCACTTGGCCTAGTTTCTAGTGGAAACCACAATTTGTCATACGATCTCTCTTTGTGTACCTTATCTGATCCATCGCAAATGTCTTCCCCCACAGTGAGAAGGCAACTTGGACAGGGTTTGCTCTCAGCTTTGAAGTATACATTTAAAATTGACCAAAGAGATTCACCTCTGAGGCCAACTCGAGGACATGCTTTTGTTTCCAATACTCAAATTGGTGGTCTTGTTCCAGATTTTCGGAGCTTACGTTTTATTCGTCAGGTTTGATAAACTTTTGCTTTAATTATGTTCACTCTGTATGTCTTTTTTAGTTTTTTAATTAGTTCTTTCAAAGTTATTTGCTTGCTAGCATTATCACAGTTTCACTCTTTTAAGACGATCTGCAGATGCCCATGCCTTTTCACTTGAATTCTCTACATCTGCACCGTGACTATATTCTATTCTAAGCACAAACTGGGTGGATAAGTTGAACATATTGATTCTTTTCCCATGTTGTGGAGGGGTCTACTTGGTATTGTTACTATAACACAATCCATCGTATATTTTCACCAATTAGAGGTCTCTCCGAAACAAAATTTTCACCTTAATCATGTAGATATTGTTCATCATCTTTATGGGCAGCATATGGAATAAACTGCTGGGCAGTATAGTTGTGATGTTGGAGGATATCCTGGACTAGGCTGATAATTTTCTCTGCCATCTATTACCACATCGCCTAACAAATGTTATTGAATACTGCTATTTATCATTACGATGATGGAATTTCCGCTGATGTAATAGTCTACGTGGAATAATGGGATTTGACCGTTCAATTTAATTTAATTTTTATGAGAGAGAATGGGAGGGAGAGAGAGAAATGTGAGGAATAATGGGTTCATTGGGTTGCCACATCACTGATGTTCCATCATCATCATGATGATAACAAGCATTACACAATGCTATTATTCTTAATGTGAAATCTGGCGGTTCTTTCCTGAACAGGGGTTTGATCTTCGTTATGCTATACCCTTGGGATTTTATCGTGCTGCATTAAACTTTGGAATCTCGAGTAGTGTTTTTTTTCCTTGGGGGAGTGGATTCTTGAATACACCTTCTCAGTTGTCTGAGAGGTTCTTTATGGGAGGTAATTCTTCTCCAGTTTGCACATTGGGTTGCCCAACATCATTGTTGGGTTTCAAGGCAAGGGGACTGGGCCCTGCTGAGCCTAGACGGAATGCCGGGGAAAACCTTAATGACGAAAGCTCTGAATCTTCTGGAATTGATTTTATTGGAGGAGACCTTACTGTCACTGCTTTTGCGGACTTCTCTTTTGATCTACCCTTGAGGGTGTTTTTGTACCGACTAAATTATTCCGTATGGAGGTTAGTTATTTTATCCTATGATCCTTACAAATTCCATTTTCAATTTTCTGGAGTTGACTTTGGTGGTAGAAAGAGATGTGCATACTGAATAAGGCTTAGTCTCACACCACCCGTATGTAGCATTCTGCCCAGGCTCCTAGAAGTGATTGAGTGCTGTTATCTCCAGTTTAAGCTTTTTTAAGTGCTTGTTTGGTAGGGATTTTTGGGGGAAGAATTGATTTTGAATAGTGATATGATGGGAAATGTGTGGTTGAAAAAGATGAAAAAATTATTGATGTGATGGNATTGATTTTGAATAGTGATATGATGGGAAATGTGTGGTTGAAAAAGAAGAAAAAATTATTGATGTGATGGAAAATATTATTTTATTGAAGAATGTGTTGTTGAAAATGAGAATTAATTTTGAGAATCAGAAACAAACAACCCCTAAATTGAGCAAAGGTCAGAAATGATATCACATCGAGATTGTTAAATGTAGTTTCATAAGTTTGCTTTGCTTCTGAAATACCGTGCTGTGAGACATTTTTAATGTTCACAAAGTTAAATGTAGTCTTATATGTTTACCATGCTTCTGAAATGCCTGTGCTGTGAGACATTTTTGATGTTCACAAAGTTAGGCATGACACTGGGACATGTATTTCCTATACAAAATAGTAAAATGTTACCACTTAGCAATGTGGCGTCTTGTCGACCAAATGGGTAATAGAAGTTCTCCAAACAATGGCTAGTAAAAGCAATTCTTTTAAATGCTCCTGAGGGTGGCTAAAAGCTCATGCTTTGATTGCCATTTAAGGTTTATGCCTCCTGATCTGTGTTTGTTATGCGGTCAGTGCTTTGCTAATTTATTATTTGTTACTTGATCGATTTTTCGTTTCTTTTTACAAATTAGACTTCCATTCTTGTTCAAATTTTTATAATGGGTGTTTAAATAAGCATAAAAAAAAATAACTTTTCACAAATCTATTATCAAAAAATTTCTACCAAACAGCGGCTAAGTAAAAGTAATTGCAAACCATTTGCATGTAATTTTAGAACCAGTTGATAGACTAAGGGGAGCAGCTAAGAGTACTGCGATGTTCAATCAATACCATACTGATTGAGGAAGAGAAAGAAAAGCAGAAACTGTATCTTCATTTTTGAATGAAATGTGAATCGAAACCAATTTACGGTCTACCATGAAGGATTGCCCTTCATCTTTATCTCATTTCTCTACTCATTTCAACCTGGTTTATATTTAAAATCCCTGACATTTTGACATGATTATCAGGTTAACTACTGCTACATTTTGAAACAACAAGAGCATGATCGAGGGAAGACTGGTGTGCAGTTCAGCTTCTCTTCGCCTCTATAGTACATGTGGTATTTCTATTTCCTTTTTTGATATGCATCGGCATTGGATTGAGTTCCAAGGCTTAAGATAAATTTGAGTAACTTTTGGTTTCCCATTTTGTCTAAACATCCAATTTACATGGCTCCAAGATTTGTAATTCTAAAAACAAGATGTCATTCAGCCTTTGCAGATAAATAAATTGAACACATGGTATTGGAACAGATGACCAAACTTTCTTCCAACTAGGTTGAAGAATGAATCTTTGATTTCAATCCGGTTTACAGGATTAACTTTATCGCATTTCTCAGCGTTCATAATGGCAACATCACAAGAAATTTCTAACCCCCTATAATGATTATCTTGTTGATTAATTTTATTCGAAAATTAAGGTAAAAAGAACTACGAGGTTTTTCATTTTCCATTTATCTTGTCGTCTTATCAACTTTTTGTAGTTGAACTGGTGGTTGGTCGAAAGCTCAAATTATCTTTTTATAATTGTTACAAAAGCTCGATGAGAGCTTGTGTTGGCAAATGCTGTTTGCATCTTAACAGGTCAACAGTTTGGGTGTAGCTAGATATGAACCCAGAATCGTGTTCCAACACATGAAATCCCTCACTGCCATTCTATCGAACACCTGTTGGCAGATGGGTGAAGTCTGGACAGACACGACTCAGAATGACCAAGCCAACGTTGTGTACCAGAACGGCTTGGGAAAAATAGCGGGTTGTGCATTTTCGACAAGTAGGGGCCCTTTTTTATAAAAATTTTACTGTTTACATAGTTATTTGTTGGTCTGGCCTGAGTTGGCCGGTGGAACTATTTGCACGTAAATATTCTTCAAAGGGAAAAATTTATAAATAAGGTGTTTAGTTTACACCAATTTAAAAATCATGTTTATAGTTTGAAAATTCAAAAATTCGGTTTTTTTTTTTAATTCTAATTTAATATAATATAATAAACCCATTTTACATGCACCACCCCTACCGTTTCGGGGGCTATTCCGACGATCATTCCGATCATTACTCTTCTTCGACGACTATCTAACAATCATTCCGGTCACAGATTTATAATTTAATTAATCACATTATTTTTCAATCACAAATA